TGCGGTGACATGTGAAAACACGCCGTCGAAAACAACATCGTGGAGCTCACAAGTGAAGTCGACATCCTGATTTGGGGACTTATTCCAAACGATGGACCGATTCTCAATAGAGGCTGTTCGGAGAGGAGGAACGCGTGAAGAGAAGTCGTCACGCAAGCTAAGCAAAGAAAGAAAAAAAAAACTGTCCGGCTCGAGCGTGCCGCGTGAGAGACGGTCAAGCGCGGACTGCGCCGTTGATGGCGAACGACCGCTGCTCGTGCCAGCCACGGACGGACTTGTCACTTCTTGTGCAGATTCAGGTGAGCAAAAGTAGTTTGAAAACGATGAAATTAAAATGGCCCCGCAACCAGCACCGGCCGGCCCTGTCAATTCATATTTTCATAAGAATGTATCATTTAAGCCTTGAAGAAAATCTTCATTGCGTGTCGTTACTTTTTTTTGTGAGCAATATTTTCGGGAGGCGGGCCGTATTTTACAGTGGATATTTCGGGCCGTTGATTTTTTTGCAAGCCATTCCCGATCGGAGGATTTAACGGGACGCACAGATAAATACATGAATAAATGTGTGCGATGAGGCAAAAAAAAAAAAAAAAAAAAAAACATGATGATTTTTGATCAATTCAACTGGATAAATCTCAAAATAGTGAATAAATAGTAAAACATGAGGGGGGAATAGCAAGAAAGGGGTGATTTTATTGAGGAAACTTGTGGACGCGTCGTGCCGGCTGGCCATCGGGCCACTCGATTTTTGTCCAACCAAGCGGGTGGAGTGTATCTGAGCTCCAATCGAAAACGGCTGACTTGTTGTCACACTTGTGAGAGTGTCATTTAAAACATTACCCGAGCAGGTTATGATGATGGCACGAACAGTTTGTCCCTGGAACTGACCCCCCCCCCCCCGCCCCCCCCCCCCGGCCCCCCACTCACACACACACACACACACACACACACACACACACACACACACACACACACACACGCTATTTCTTCAGGTGACGTAGGGTGTTTTGAAATCGGAATTCACAAAACGGGTGGCAATTTTTTCCGACGGTATTGTTGACCGGATCACAAAATTCTTTCAATAGTGCAAAAACCGGGCATGCCGGGGAGGGGGGGGGGGGCCCACAGCTGGGAAGAGGAAATTCAGACTCCATCATTGAGAATACTCCAGTTCATTCAGTCCCTCCAACAGGCGGGAACCACTCATTCACATCGAGAGCAAAAAGGAGCGAGCTGCTCAAGTTCTGGTAGCTTCTATTTCTGGACCGCTTCATATTGATAAGGAAGTGACAGTCGGTGAAGGCGAGCGGCCGGTCGGAAATGATAGCGGGCTCTTTCTCAAAACAGTGTGACAAAACAATGCCAATCGCCTCGTCGACGTCAACTCGGGTTTCTTCGCTTCAATTCTTGGCCAAACTCTTCGCTTTGCGATACAAAGGAACACGCTGACGCCCCGTGAGCCCGAGCGGGGGCTCGTTTTCGCCCGTAAAAATCAAGTTGCAAAGTTGACCGAAGCGGTCTCGGAGATGGGGAAGGCGGCGACGTGTCCGGCGCGCAGCAGCCGAGGTGAAGCGAGAGCTCCGTGCGTTCAAGTGCACAATAATGGGCAGACTCCATTTAATATCGATTCCCTTTTGCTCCCTAACGCCACATCGAGCTTAGTTTATCCGCCACTCCGGGAACAAATCAGCCCCTCGGCCCGGATCATTCATCGCTTGGCCCCTTCCGGTGAGAGCTTGGTGACGCTGTCAGGCGCCAGGCAGCCATTTAGGTGCGTATGAACCCAGTTGAGCCTGCGCGTAAATGGCTGATACATTTCGTATTTTTCTTCGCCCCCCCACCCCCCCTCCTCACCCTCCCTAATTGCTGAGAGCCATCAGCAGCCGCCGGCCTCCTCCCCAGCGCCTTAAATCCACACACACTTCAAGCTGCTTCGCCTCCATAAAAGCATTCTAACGCGTCATCCCATCCCGGTGCTCTTGAAACGAGCATGAAAAAGTATTTGCGGGCTCCGGCTAACCCCAAGAGACTCGGCATCAAACAATGAAGGAGGACTGGAGGCATTCCGTTTCCATCACAAAGCAATCAACATCTCGTTGTAAAACACTGCATTTGGTTAAAACGCAAGCATCCGCGAGCTAAGTTTAAGGTGACAAAGGAGACGTTTGAGTGGACATAAACCATTCGAGACGACGGCTGCAGCACGTCAG